GTGGAGCTTTTATGTTCGTTGTGTCTTCTTCTTTAGGTGTGGAGTGTGTGCTTTGAATTTTTTTTTTAGTCTGGTTTCTACTTTTTTTCGTTGTGGTCTTATCAGTTGTCTCAGCTTTTACCTTTTAGACCGTAAGTTTCCCTGCACTCTCTAGTTTCCACAAAATCGGGAGCTGAGGTTCATTGTGTTTGAAACAGATTTTTTTGGTCCCTAAAGTCTTTGATAGTGGCTCTGCATTTATAGTTAATGATGATCCATGCAAGGCACTTTTGTTTTCTTAATGGGGATCTGTGATCAAAACAAATGACACTTTGTATACTGACATTATGAGTTAAGAACAAATTGGATATCGGTCATCTTGACTCTTGAGCTATTCCTAAAACTTCAGTGTTTGTTTCCTCAAAGCTTCTGTACTGTTCTGGGCAGGAAGTTTCAAATGTAGTTTTAGGGTTGTCTTTTAAAATGCTGTTTATACAGTATTTTGGGACAGTGTTGACCCAAACTGAGCCAAGAACATCTGCTGTGGAAGGGAGTCAGTCGTAAGTGTTCTGTTAGATGTCTGTGAGAGTCCGGTGCTCTCTGCTCAGGTTCTTCCAGACACTCCACGCATGGAGGGTGTAATGCTTAATGCTAGATTAACCATTTGTGTATAGCTGATGTTAGAGAGGATTTCTGATTTAGCAGTGTGATAGAAAATACACTGAAATCACAATACAAATGCAAGTTCAACCTAGCAATCTCCAGCAATTGCAGTATACAGTTTCAACACAGTACCGGTGTGTGATCTGGAGTGTGCTCACTGTCACGATGCTGGTGACACCAGGAAGGAATACGTGGGCTGGAGCCAGCTGAGGCTCTGAAATTCCTTGGTTCTGTGGTTTTGTAGAGGCACGTCTCGGCTGCCCCGTGCTGCTGTAGCTAAGCCCGGGAGACGCTTGTAACAAAGAACTCGGGGAGAAGCGTTTCCAGCCAGTTGATTCACTCAGCTGGGATGCAGTCAGTGGGTCTGACTGAGCTGTTTATGTGAAACAAAGGGCACTCTCTGCTCCCCTTTGTGCTGAGATCAGGCCGGCTCTGCAGCAGCTGTGCTCGGGCACACCCTGCTGCTGCCCGGGCTGGCCTCCCTTTGGGGCGATCTGCAGCTCCGTCCCTGCATGGGAATGAGCCTTGGGTGAATTTGCAGAAAAACTCACTGAAGGCAACAGACCCCGCTTAGCTGTGCTGGCTTTGGCTGGGATGAAGTTCATTTTCTCCACGGTATCTAGTGTGCGGCTGTGTTTTGGATTTGTGCTAAGAACAGTGTTGATACCACAGCAATATTTTGGTTACTCTGAGCAGGGCTTACACAGAATCAAGGCCTTTTCTGCTCCTCATCCCACCAGCAAAGAGGCTGGGGTGCACAACAGATTGGGAGGGGGTATAGCCAGGACAGCTGACCCCAACAGGGTAATTCTAGGTCATATATATATATATAATAATATAAATCTGGGGGAAGAAGGTGGAAGGGATGCCATTTGGAGTTGCTTTTGCCTTTCCAAGTCACTGTTACACAGGATGGAACCCTGCTTTCCTGGGCTGGCTGAACACCTGCCTGCTCATGGGAAGCAGTGAATTAATTCCTTGCTTTGCTTGATCACACAGGTTTTGCTTTTCCTGCTGAACTGTCTCCATCTCAACCAAAGAGATTTTTCACTTCTATTCTGCTGATTCTCTCCCCCATCCACTGTGGGGGAGTGAGTGAGTGACTGGCTGCATGGGGCTGAATTGTTGGCTGGGGCTAAACCGCAGCAATAGTCTAGATATTTTCATTGTTTGGGTGTGATGAATATTTGTATCAGTATTTTTAGTTTGCTTTCTACTGTGCAGTATGAATGGCATGGTAGGAAGATACCACACAGTGTGTCAAGGCTTCAGGCTGGCGTAAGTGCTTGGGTGTTTGTGCATCGTAGGGAACACTCTCAGTTCCACGTGTAATTCATTTCTGAGCACAAAGGCACTTGTTGAATTAGAGAGGAGAAACTGACTGGAAGTTCAAATTACTCAGTGTAATTCTGTTTTGGTAATTGGATATACAAGGTAGGCAGTGAGCACTGTGACTCACTATTGCAGTGTGGTGACAGTCATTCCACAGACCCAGCTGTGCTGCTCTGAACTTCTCTGCTCTTGATCACTTTCTGATATTGCTGTTACTATTTTTATGATTATAACTGATTATTTTGGTGTTGAGCAGAAGGATAGTATAGGAAACAGATGATTTAGTTATTCCAGTGTGAGGATTTTTCCAATATTTGTCTCATGTGGCACATTGACCAAAACTGTTGCTGTGACTGTTCCTGTCACAGCAGTGGTGATGTACTTTTGAAAGCTGCTAGGCATGAGAACATTGTGAAGGTTGCCAATTCTGGAACTTTAAAGTTGATAAATATATGTATTTACAGCAGTTCAGTGCTAATTCAGCTCCTTAGTGTATCCACAAAGCGTGGAAAAGTATAAATATATTCAGACATACCCTTGTAATGCAGCAATGGACACAAAATTATCATTGTGTGGACAGCTTTGTTAGGATACAGCTTGATGGTAGATGTTATATTTTGTAAACTCCATTTCCTTTGGATGGAGGGTTTTTTCCTAAGTGATTTTCTGCTTATTAAAAAAATAAATTGAAAAAAACAATGTTTGTGTGCCTCCTAGACCTTATCAGCCTGGTGGGCCACACCTGACTAAGAGACAGAGTTCTCTCAACTCCCATCGCAGTAACCAGGTAGAAGAGGAAAACTTGGATCAGTGTGCTGTCCCTTCCAGGCAGATCCTGGGAGGTGGAAAGTCTGTCAGGAAATACGGGGAGGAGTTCCTGTGAGTGGCTGTGAGTTATGTGAGAGGAGTCATTGAGGAAACTGGGCTTTAGCATTTGCTGATAGAGGAATTAATTTGCTCTTGTTAATGTGAGGCTGAGCTGCCAACTCCATAGGCTTCTATGATATGTGTAATTGCTTTTAATTAGCACCATCCAAATACCTCCACAAAAAAAAAGCCCCCAGAGCTCAGGTTTTTGTTTTTCCTTGCACAGAAGGACATTCCTAATTCTTTCCCTTTTTGCCTCCCATTAATATGGGGAAGGGGAACAGTTGAAGCTGCTGTGAGCTAAGGGTAAAATATATAACCTTAAATTAAGATTACACAATTTTGTCATACTCTCCATAACTGTATCATGCAAAGCCAAAGTTTCAACTTTCCTTAAAAATACAGTGGTTAAAAAAACCCCAAATTTTTAAAGGGTAGGGTTTTTTTTAGCAGAGATTACATTGGGATAAATGTACCATTTTGAGCATGTGGGGGGCCTGAAACTGGTGTTGAGATGTGATAGCTCTGTCCTCTACTGTCACCACATAAATGAAACTTGTAACACATCAGAGTTTTATTTCTGTGCTTCTCCCTTCTGTAAATGAAAAAGCTGCAGGAGAGGCACTGGGGAGCTGTGAGTTTGGCAATATTCCACAGGACAATCTGAAGGGTAATTGAGATGGGGAAGGACAGGACAGCAGTGAAGCCAGAGATGAGATTTTTTTCCTTTATGTGGTCTGTAATTTAAAGCTTAAGTGCAGCTGAATGCATTTTCAGTGGAGGAATCAGTGTTAATTAAAGCACATGGACTGGGAGTGTAACATTAAAGTGAAATGTAGCATCCTCTCTCCTGTGAATGAGAGACTTCTGTCAGTTTCCCCAAAACAAAAAAGGGTGGAATGTGGGTGTCCTGAGCTGCAGAAACACAGCTCAGATGGGACTGGTAATACTCAGAAATACCAGTAGTGTTTGACTGACTTTTGTCATATTGCTCTCTTTAATTGCTTTCCTTTCTGCATTGAATTCTTATGGTGACGCTTTAAAATTTGAGGATGTTTTACTACTTAAATATTGCTCCTTTTTTAGGATATTTTCTTATTTAAATATTGCAGTTTCTTGCCTTCCAGGATTTTCTGTCTGACATACTTGGTTTAGGTCACTTGGAGATACAGCTTTTCAGATTATTTTATTTCATTCCTTAGAGGCATTAAGTATGAGCTGCTGTAAAACTGTTTTGTCATGTGGAATTACCCAGTTACCTGTCACTCTCCATTTGTTTTCAGACCATGCAATAGCTCTGAATTAAACTACAAACCAAAAGTGAATTTAATAAACAGCAGCAACTTTGGAAGCAGTCACATGTGCTATAGACATAGATCCATGAAAGCTGATTTATAATCGTTTTCACACTAGAGGGCACTAACAGCTCATTAATTTAAGCACAAACCAATTTTTACTCTGTAACACTGTGGTTGGGTAGTCTTACTCTTTTTATAGTGGATGCCAAAGGCTTCCATTTCTTTGCAGCCTTTTCTCTGCAGAAATGAAAGTCATAGTATTCATGCAAGGATGCATTAGAAGTCAGTGTGTGGAGTTTTCCTTTGTGTGTTTTTTCCATTTGAAGTTTTTTTACTAAGCAATAGTTTGGGTCATTTGTGGAGAAAATTATAAATTCCATTTTTACTTTTAATTGCTTTCAATGTAATAATTTTTGCTTAAAGCTAGTGAAGAGTCCTGTAAGACAGGAAGTGATTAGATAATACCTTAAAGTTACCTAATAGAGTTAACATATATACTGGAATACACTTTTTAAAGCTGGTAATAAAAGAAAAAGCAGAATATATGAACTGATGTTGCAGACCTCAATTTGTTAGGGCTACTGCATGTATTTTCATATTGATTCCTGGCATAGAGAAAACAATAGGGGAAAATAAAATGGTAAGTCAATACTGCCAGTGACTGATGGATCTTAATGGAACCTTCAGTTGCTTATGTTGGTTTTAAGTAAGTAATTTTAAAATACAGGTTAGAATCTGAAGTCTGGACCTCTGTGGTGTAGCCATTTTGGAAGTCCTTTATTTTGTTAACGATTTTAGGCACTGAATCTTGATGAAAACCCCTGCAGAAAGTGGTTTCTGACACCTTTTTGCTCTTTGTAGGAATGGTTATTGGGTTGCCTTGGAGATGATCCTGCTGCTGTAAATGTAGGGCCGAAGATTAATGGTGTGGGCAGTATGGAGCTGATGAACGGACAGTCCAGTGGTGTTAACATTGCAGCTACTGCTTCAGAGGTAAGGACTGGAAACCTCAACTAACTGAGTACTCAATTTTTACTTCAAGAGCACTAAAATGTGAGTTTTTGTTTTAACAGCTGTCATCCAGCAGATTCTTGTTCTGTGTGTTGGTTTCATACACCCCAGTTTAGTGTGAATAAAATGTAAAGTCCTGAACTTGGCATACCGAAATAGAGCATGAACTTGCATATACCATAGCCAGAGCTGACTTTTTCCATGTTCTCTTCCATCACATCTAGACAAGGAAGCTTTTCTTTTCAAGTTTTAACAAGAATAGACACTCTTAGCACGTTAAGCTAGCTTGGCAAGGCCGGTGGGAAATGTTCTTTTTTTTGACAGGTACTTGTGTGTGTGTACTGAGGAGCAGTCTGACACAGCAGCAGTGGAATAAAGTTGTTCCCTTTGTCTCTTGGACTATATTCTGGCGTAGGTGGGGGTCCCTCCTGCCCATCAAAGCTTCTGCCCTCTAGAAAGGAACAGCTTGTGAGCTGTTCATCAGCCAAGCAGTGGAGATTGGCCTCATCTACTGGTGCCTCTTAGTTTGAAGTGAATGTATTTTTCCACTTGTCATCTGCTTGTTAAGGAAGAGGCTTGGGCTGAAATTAGAACACTACAAAGTCAGTAGGGAGGAGAGCCACAAAGTCCTGACTGAAGTTGCTTCCTTCCATGAATCTCTGCACTGAACCATGTTTATTTTCATGTTTACAGATGAGTTTTGATAGCAGTTATGTGTGGTATGCACTTGCATATGGAAATGGGGAGTACCACAAACAAGGTGAAAGGAAAATTGGAGTCTAGTGTTACCAAAAGGAACCAAATGATCTCCACCATAATTACACAACTATTGTCAAGAAAGCTGGCATCAGTCTCCAAAGATCATTGTTTGTTTTGATATAGATTCTTGTACTCCCCTTATAATTGCTTCATGAATCATTGACTGTTTTTTGGCGCGCACCTGAAAAATTTTCTTGGAGGAAAGCAACATTTTTAGTCAGCAAAATAGTCTAGAATGTTTATGTGATGTCTGATGAAATTGAGCAAAATATATTTTGGCAAAATTACATTAATTTACTTTAAGCAAGTGATATTTTTTTTCTAGCTTGACTAAGAAGTAGGAAAGAGGACTCATAACTGAAATGTTTCTATAAGCATACTAGTTACTGAAAATGCATGTCTGGTATCAAATTTTTGGTGGCGTTTTCAAAGGCAGATTTTTCAGAGAGATTGTAATGTCAGAATCTAATTAAAAGTGGACATAATTATTAAATAAGCTTTTTCTTCATAATGTGTCCTTATAACAAAAGTGCTTGAAAATGGACATGAGTTTATTTCAACTGGCTGAATTCTCAAGGACCCATGTCCACAGTCTTGAAAGCTTGCAGCATTAGCAGCAAAGTGGCACAGACTGTCAGAAAGGGCCTTGATTGTGTTAGCCACCCCAACAATCCCACCCTGTGCATCCCTGGAGAAGTGTCCAAACCCTCCTGGAGCTCTGGCAGCCTTGGGGCTGTGCCCATTCCCTGGGGAGCCTGGGCAGTGCCCAGCACCCTCTGGGGAAGAACCTTTTCTTAACACCCAAGCCAAACTTCCCCTGACACAGCTTCAGGAGTGAATAAATAGAATGTAGGTCTGCATCTCTGTGCTAGAGGAAATGATTCTCATTACACAGATGTGTTGCTTTAATGTGAAAATTGTATATGAAACATACGAAGCCAATATGAAGTGTTTATTTTTTGAGCCACATTTATATTTTGCAGGGAAGCAAAATCTTTATTTTGTAGGTAAATGTTCATAGAATGATATCCTAGGATCTGTTACTTTTTGCAAATGTGAATTACTGTAATTTAAAAACAACACTGAAATTCCTTCTGCTAAATGTTGTCAGCAGGAACACATGCAGCTCAGTGTCATTTTTGTAAGCTTCCATGTTTTTAAGAGAAAGAGGAAGAGAAGTGATAACTATTCCCTTGGGGCAGACCCTGTCTTTTTCCTTACCTTTCTTCCATTTGAAATTCAGTGTGACTGTATTGCTTTTGTTGATATAGTTGCTGTTATTACCTTTCCTATCAATAAAATTTAATTATGCATTGAAATATAACTGTTGTGTTTTGAAGCATTCCTTTGAAATCATGGAATTATGGGTCATTGGAAGGGATGATAAAGCCCATGCAGTGCCACCCCCTGCCATGGGCAGGGACACCTTCCACTATCCCAGGTTGCTCAGAGCCCCATCCAGCCAGGCCATGAACACTTCCAGGGATCCAGGGGCAGCCACAGCTTCTCTGGGCACCCTGTGCCAGGGCCTCCCCACCCTCACAGCAAAGAACTTCTTCCTAATATCTAATCTAATCCTGCCCTCCTTCAGCTAGAAGGCAATCCATAGAAATCCAGATATTACTTTGAAGGTCTGATTTCTTGCAGTCCACATCAGGAAAAAGTCTGTTCTGTGACTGAATTTACCCAATAGAAAAATTGTGTGAACAATGATGTTTGGACAGAAATTTTGCTTTTGAGAGTGTAAAAAAGAGAAGACAAAAAGAAGAGGACAGGTCCAAAACATCCTCAGTGTTTTTTTGTTTCTGCAGAAGAGTAGCAGCTCCGAGTCCTTGAGTGACAAGGGTTCAGCTGAACTGAAGAAGAGCTTTGATGCAGTGGTATTTGATGTTCTAAAGGTCACACCAGAGGAATATGCGGTAAGCAAGTCCAGGAATCCCAATTACTTTGTGTGTGACTCTCCTTTGCAGCTTTTCCTCTGCTTCTCTATTTCTGCACTTCTTTTGCCTAATATCTGTCATCCATGGATTTTAAAAACAGATCCTGTTCTTTAGTTCTTCATTGTCTCTATTCTGTTTGAAATTTGAATTGAAATTAAGTGATCTTTTTGGGTTCTGCTGTCCAGGTATTTTTCATACTCTTATATGTAGCATAGACCAAAGATTCTTCATTTATGTAATGCAGCTTAATTCTGACATGCATATTTAATTGCAAGGCTATACTTGATCTGTACTTGGTTTTTTTTCCTGGAGCTATTTTAATTCTTAACTCTGCTAATTCTTGCTCTAGGAATCTTTTCTAGGTTTCTTCTTTTGGCTGCACAGAATAATGAGATGTTTAACCAAAACATTAGTTGATTGTTTTGTTTTGTTTTTACTCCCTGTAGAGGTGAGGACAACAGATGGTCCCTCTAAGTGATTCAAATATGTTGCTAGAAAGATTGCTAAGCTCTTAATGTATTTCCAATTCAAGTGATGAGATTCATGAGGAGTTGTCCTGGGGAGATTATTGATATGGAGTAATACATGTCACAAAATATTCCCATTTAGTTTGTTCTGGTTTATAATTGTTAATAACTATTTCAGTTAATTATTAATGGCACGATTGATTTTAATGAGAACTCTGAAAATTTAAAGCAGCTGGATTATGAAGTGGTACTTACACATTAAATTCTTCTTGGCTAAGGATCATAATTAATTATGGGATTTATTCCTGACTGAGGCTTAAGTCATGTGGTTTGGGCCTCTTCCTTGCACTGTTGTCAGGAACAGCTGGGCAATGCATCACCTACTTTCCATGGGAAGATATTTTTTGGGGCTGGCTATGCTTCCAGTTTCATCTTATGATTCCTGTACATAAAGTAAATCTAAGTACTTAGAGAATCTGGGGCTAGGGACATGAATTCCAGTGGAATTATGCATTCAGGCCAGAATGAGTTTGTTGAATGGCTCTACTATTTACCAGTGGTAGATGCTGTTGGGCAGCAGAATACATCAGTCAGTCTGTGGAGCTGCTGTCACTGCCTTGGACAGCAGAATATACAGAGGTGCCTTGTCATAGAATCACATTTCATAATTCTTTTGCTCCACCATCTAATCCTTCTTCTCTCAAATGCAGCAACCTTTGACTCTGTGTGTTCTACTGTTACCCACTTAAGAAATCTTGGTTAGAAAAAAATCTGTATTCAAATCCAGTGTTTTTCCTGTTTTCATGTTATGCCTCAGAGTGGGTAGAGTTCTACTCACCAACAGGAATCTTTTAATTAAGCATTTCACATTACAGTTATGAAGCTGTGCCTATATTTTTGGTTTCTATTACTAAGTATAATTTTGCTGTTTTCTTGGTCCTTCAAAAGAAACATTTTTGCTTTTAACCTTTTTCCTTTTAAAGTATCTTGTTCTTCATACCAGGTTTTATTTACTGTAAATCTATATGAAACATGTAGAATTCTGAACAATTGAACAAAATCATCAGTATTCAATCCTTTGGCAAGGAAATAATTGATTTAATTTCTTTTTCAATGTTTCTTTACACAGCTGCACCTCTTTGTTAATGCTTGTTTCCCCAGGCACACATATCTGCTTTTCCAGTAGCACCTTTTTGCTTTGAATACTGTCTTTTTCTGATCATTCTTGCTGAAGATTGTAGAAATAATTAAATTTGCCAAGAACTTAGGTACCCTGGAGGAAAAGTACCTTTGACCCTTGTTTTTATTTTCTTGGCCACTTCCTTATTCTTCCTGGGTTTAATCCTCCTATAACAGAGAGGTGTAAAATCTTCATCTGGGTTTCAGTGTGGATGTGAAGGCCAGACTGATACAGTAGGGCCAGCTCTTGAGGATGTAAAAGTGTGTGAGGTTTCCTGGTGATGGGTATTACCTCTTGGGTTGGACATGGATATGCTGCCAGCTGCTTTTTCAAAGTATGAGAAAGTTTCTCATTTAGTGATAGCTCTTATAAAATGGATGCAGTGCAGGCTGCAGACATGTCTCTGTGACAGCTGAATGAATACTGTTTAAAATAATGTCATTTATTTTGAATTGGTAAACTGATGAAATAATTTGTGGGCTACCTAAGTAGCTTATTGATTGAGAGGAAAGATAACCTGAAAAAGCCAGTAAAACAGCAATAATAGTAAGTTGATCCACAAGAAGTAGTTAGGCAGCTGTCTAAATAATGGTTAGGAAGCCTTGGCTCCAATGGAAAAGAGTTCCTGAACAGAGGTAAAGGTGAGAGTTCACTGACCAAGTCAACACAGATATTATGAGGTCCCATCCTGTACCTTGTGTGATCTGTTTGATCAGAACAGGTCTGTGTGCACAGATGGGAGAAGTACAATTATGCTGGAGGAAGAAGAACAAAAATCTGAAAGAAAATTAAGTTTGAGATGCACTGGAAATAAGATCCATGCTGGTGATTTCAGTACCAGTGAGAGACACAGATGTATTTTCAGTTCCCACTGTCTCAAAGACATCATTATCATTTCAAAACTCTCTCTGTTTAGTCGTTTAGTGGGTAAGAGACCAGTTGGACAACAAAAGGTATTGCTTATAATCCTGTATTTTCAAGAAGCTGCTACCAAGCCAAAGAGAAACCTGAGAGCAGATATTTTTGGTGATTTTATTTCCATATTCTCCCCTTTGGCAGTCATCTAACACTGTCCTGAGTACACAGGAGGAGTGCTGTTTTGTGTAATGGTCCTTTGTCTCGTAAGCAAGTCTTCCAGCCCTTCAAGGGGGCCAGTTGGAACAGTAATGGAAATTCTTGTTGTAATAGAGGTGTAAGAGTCAGTTATAACCTTGTTAGCAGCTGGGTGGTTTTAATCCTTCCCAAGGTTGAAAGCTGCTTTAGAAAGGGCTGAGTTACAGAAACGGGTGAGATGTTCAGGTCCTGCTGCTGCTGTTGCAAATTTATAGTTTGCTTTATCACCTTGCAGCTTACAGAAAGCTTCCAGGGGATGTATTAAATACCTGAGTGTTGCATAGATTTTGGGGAAGAAGAATCCCATTCAATGAGCATGAAGTAGGACATATTTAAGGATTCAATGGCCAGCTTTGTAGATACAACTAGGAAGGAGACCATCTCTGATTTAAAGACCTGCTTTTAGGCTGGTCACTGCTCAGTTCTTTATTCCTGGGCTGGAAGCCACAGCCAGGCTGGTGCCAGGCTTGCCCCGTGGTGTCTGGCCCTGCTGGGGGGGCCGTGGTGTGTCCAGGCTCGGCGTGGTCGCAGTGAATGCTCCCCATTTTCATCCCAGGGAGAAGTGTGGTTTTGAGCACACAGGGCACAATTTGTGGGGGACGGATCTGTTAGTGGTGCAGTGGCAGTGGAATGGGGAGGCTGGTGAGGCTGAAGGAAAGAAGGAGAATACTTGGGGACATGAGCTCCAAATTAAGGTGCTGGCCAACCTCAGGTTGAGGAAATATTTATTTTTTGCTTTACAGTAAATTCTTATTCCTTAGACAGCTACTGTTTAATTATTAGACTGTTTATTACTTTTTGACTCACTTTTCCATTTTATACTTTGACTTAGCCACGGTGGTGTAAATATTTGAGGTAGAATTAAGGGAAGCGCAGCTGTATAAATCCATTGCTTTTTTTTTCCCACCTAGTTATCTAAGAAGGATTCTTTATTCTTTGCCCTAGTCCCTGGAAGTGCTGTGGAGTATAAGTTCAGGCTAAAATGTATGTGTATTTCTTTCTTTTTAATTCTTGTGAAGTTTTGTCAAATCTTGTTGGAAGAAAATACTGCTTATTTTGGAAACAATGTGCAAATAGAGTTTATTTTAAAATGGTTTCAATGAAACAATGAGGAGTTCTTATGACCGTGAAATATCAGATTATCTACATCCTGTTAGCTTTACTTTGCAGAAGAATATTAGAGTAAATATGTTCCCAGTGAGAGCAAGAAGAAGCAACTTAATTACAGCGTGTGGAGGAACTATTGATGATAAAAGTTTTGGAGTGGACTTTGTGAGAAAAAAGTAGAGCTTCAACACAGGAACTGGAATCCCCTGGTGTTCATTCTGGACAGCAGAATTATTCTCCTACTGATGCTGTGCTTAACAGAGGCTTAGCTATTTTTTCAGTGAGGAAAATATCCTGGCAGCCTAGAGAGACAACACTAAGCCAAGTTGGAAGGCTTAAATATAATTCCTTCTAGAAATTCAGATTAAGGAACAATTTATGAAGTGCTGCTTCAACCAACATGGCTTCAAGGAAAATCAGGTGATGGCAGTGTTCTTCAATGACCAGAATGCATACATTGGACTTTTTAAATTCCAAACAGAAACTGAATTTCTTTTTAGACTGAGGGTTTTCTGTCTGGGAGGGAGCAGTGGGGGAAGTGCCCTGTCCTTAGGGTAGGTACATGGCAGGAAAACTTGTAGTACATACAGCAAGTGGCCTGATAGAAAGAGTTCATGCTTGAGAAGGACTAAAAAAGTGGGAATATAGCCCAGGTCCAATGAGAACTTTGATACAGAAATGTGGAGAGGAGCTTAATGCAGTGGTCTTAACTGGAACTAGAAGTTCTTAAGTTATAAGTTTTTGTGAAAAGAGGGTAATCCGTGTGTCCTCATAGAAAAGAGAAAAAATCAGGAAATATTTTTGAATTTCATTTCATTAAGCTTCTTCATATTCCTCAAAGAAGCAGCACACAGAAATGTAGTTCTGAGTTGTTTGAATATAACATTTCTGACCCGGCAGACCTCCCCGAGAGAGGGGTAAAACCTCTTTATATGAAGCTGTGTGGTAATAATTTTAGGGTTTTGAAGTACTTAATTGTTAACAAGTCCAACTTCTCAACACCCATGAGAGCTAAAATATTTTTACACTTTGCTGTTGGAGACTCCCCAGGCAAGGTCTTTTCTATACATGCAAAACTCCCGTGGCTGTGAAGGGCTGGGGAAGTGTCTTCCAGCAGCCATTTCACTGTGTTAATTGGAAAATTATCATGCACCGCTTTTAAAAGATGGTTTTGCCTTGTACAGCTCTTCAAATGGTTGAGAATTGGGAAATATAAATGTGATCTATTAAAAACATACCTTTTCCACTCGTATTCTAGAACTGTTATCTAGGATCTAGGGCAAACAGAAACAGAACCTCCATTCAGCTCACCCTGTGCAATGATGAAATGCTTTATTATGTAAATGAACTTGGTAGAGATAGCACTTCTGGAAAGAGAGAAAATACCAAGTTTCCCTATCTCTACATAATCAGAATGCTTATTTAAATGATAAGTAAGGACAAGTTCATAATTTTGTATTGTACATGTAATTATTTTTATTTTTTTAAAGTCTGTGCAGCTGGCAGCTCCAAAACCAGAAAAGTTATGGTTGGCGTGCTTCATGTAACAAGTTGATTTGCACACTTATAATTTTTGGTTTGAATATTAAAGCATTAAACCACATTTGGGAGAGGGAAGCTCTCCAAGAATTTGTATTGGCTGGGTTAAGGAGCTGGAGTGAGAAAAGTTAGTGCATTGTATCTCTGTCTCTCAGAAACCAAAGTAGGGGCTTTGTTTATTGGGGTTCAGGTTCCCCTTGAGATGGTCAAGGCAGAAGTTTTTTGTTGCTGTTAGAGTTGAGCAATGGCACATAACATAAATCTCAAATTATTTTTGAAGCTTTGTCATTTCAAGTGCTATTAATTAGACTGCCAGCCTTTCAGTCTGCTTTATTTACTTACTTAGCAGTGAGTGAGCACATTTTAAAAGAATAAAAATTCAGTCATTAGACTCATAAATACGAGCAAGTTAATGTTTCAAAAAATCTGTTTTGTTAAATTTAGTTTTAGATTCTAATTTGAGTTTCTGTCATATCTACAAATTCAAATGGCTTTTTAGCAATCAGCTTAGATATTCAGCTCTCAGTGGCTTGGTTCATTTGAATTATGAGCAATTTACTAAGCCCTGGGAACTTGTAATGGAAATTTCAAGCTCCCTAAGGAAGGAACTGCAGTGAGGGATGTTTCTTGATCTAGTGCTTCTGTGATACAGTGTTACTTAAGGTTTTAATAAAAGCAAAGATGTGTCAACCAAGCAAGGAAAAAAACCTATCAGCCTAGTATCAGCATGGTACTAAAAGAAAGAGGTTTCTCTGTTAAAAGTTCCAGAGGTTTTTTTTAATTGTCAGACTTTAAAAAATGTTATAATGTACTTAATAGCAATTTCAGATATATTTAATAATGACCACTAATCCTGAACCCTGACACTTGTGTGTGTTTTCGGTGTTAAAATGTCCTTTTAAATATCCCTGTTTAAAATTTTGATATATGAATTTGGGTGTGAAGTTCTAATACTACTTTTTATTTCATAAGTATTTTGTGTTGATCTTGTCTTAAAGTAGTAACTTGTTTAGGAGTCACTAGTGAAGCAAGTCAAATTTAGCTAAGGCAGTTCAGGCTGATGAAGGGGATGGATTCTGGAGGGCTAGCAAGAAAGACAACATTTATCTTTAAGTCTTCTCTCTTCAGTGTGAACAAATAATCAGTTTCCTGGCTTTTTTTTTTTTTTTGCTGTTATTACAATCTTGTTTTAGTGAAGAGAATTTGCTGTGGAATGTTAATAACTGTTGAAATGCCCGAGTCTTCTGTAAGGATCTTTTAACGTGCCTTCTGTTTGAATTTTATTGAACTGCCCATTCTTTTCATTTCATCTTCCCAAACCCAACCAATTTTACTGTTAATTTGCTTTACTGAGAAGCATAATGATGCACCCACTGAGCCACGTATTCACCAAAAACAACGCGTTTCTGAGGAAGCTTGATAAACTTAAGTACTCAGATGGGAGGCTGGAGATGGAGTTCAGTGGCTGCTCTTCCAGGCCTGGGTTCCTCACTTTCCAGCCACTCTCCTCGCAGGCTGAGCTGTGCCTGGGGTTGTTGTGATCCAAGGGCAGGACCCAGCCCTTGTTGACCCTCATGCCACTGGCCATCGATCCCACCTGTCCAGATGCCCCTGCAGGCTTCCTGCTCTCCAGCACATCCACATTGCAGCCCCACAAGGGGTGTCTGGGGGAAAGAGCAGCCAACAGAGCAGAGACCACATTTATCTTTAAGTCTTCTCTCTTCAGTGTGAACAAATAATCAGTTTCCTGGCTTTTTTTTTTTATTTTGCTGTTATTACAATCTTGTTTTAGTGAAGAGAATTTGCTGTGGAATGTTAATAACTATTGAAATGCCCGAGTCTTCTGTAAGGATCTTTTAATGTGCCTTCTGTTTGAATTTTATTGAACTGCCCATTCTTTTCATTTCATCTTCCCAAACCCAACCAATTTTGCTGTTAATTTGCTTTACTGAGAAGCATAATGATGCACCCACTGAGCCACGTATTCACCAAAAACAACGCGTTTCTGAGGAAGCTTGATAAACTTAAGTACTCAGATGGGAGGCTGGAGATGGAGTTCAGTGGCTGCTCTTCCAGGCCTGGGTTCCTCACTTTCCTGCCACTCTCCTCGCAGGCTGAGCTGTGCCTGGGGTTGTTGTGATCCAAGGGCAGGACCCAGCCCTTGTTGACCCTCATGCCACTGGCCATCGATCCCACCTGTCCAGATGCCCCTGCAGGCTTCCTGCTCTCCAGCACATCCACATTGCAGCCCCACAAGGGGTGTCTGGGGGAAAGAGCAGCCAACAGAGCAGAGACCAGGACAGAGAGCGTGTGAAAGTGGAACATGTAAAGGGCTTGTTATTTCTGTGGTGTTGTACTGCACAATACCAGATGATTGTGTCAGGGTGTTGGTTACAGACAAATTATATTTATCAATTTTTTATGTTTATCACTGATTGTCAGAATTCCTATCTAAAAATGTGTTTAGAGGTGAAGATGTGTTACCACATATAGATTGGGTTGTCCTTGCAAAACACATCTTGCCTCATTAGAGCAGGTACATCTCTGTAGTTGCTGACTTTCTCCTAGAGCATCCCAGTTAAAATTCTCCTGCAAGGTTGGCTTTCTCTGAGGAGCTGAGCCACCATCCACGGTGGCATCCATGCAAGTTGTGAAAGTCACAAAGCTGTCAGTGTGTACCTTGGAGTGTATATATGGGGCACTGCTGTTTTCAAGGAAATGGGAATAAAGCCATGCAGCTGACAGCTGAAGGAACAGAACAAGGTCCCTGGGTTCATTATTAAAAGAAAATTTGTGATACCTAACTCGGATGGCACTGGTCTTTCTGGGCTGCCTTTGAAAGAAATGGGTTTTTTTTCCTAGATGTATAGGCTGTCAGCAATCCTAAAATGTGCAGGGTTAATAAATATAAAATAAGGTTCTGTGAATATATTTCAAAATGCAAAACCTGGTCTTTGACTTTATTCTTTTCAAAGCTAAGCAGGCATCCCAGAATGAAAATGCACTTATTGACTCTGCCTTGCTGGAAAAGAGATGACTGTGTTGAATTTTAACTGTTGCTGAGCAACTGAACAATTGCTTTGCTTTGTTACTCCAATATTGTTCAAGTATTGATTGAAAAGCTGTAGGGATGTTTCAGTAGAATTGTGTAGCTGGACTAACATTCAGAGTTTGGAGAGAAGCTACCCTTGAGCAACTGCAGTCAGTTCCTTGTCTTTTGGGGGAGGCTCTTCTATTGTGTTTCTGAGTTCAAGCTCTTACTTGCCTGTGTAACTGCAGGACTATGCTCCTGAGAATAATTTCTCATAATTTGTTTATTATTTGTGCATGTAAAGCTGGGAGTGCGTTTTTCTTCGGTTCTGCAGGATGACCCTGTGGTAGATGTTGAAACCTCTGAAATTAGGTATTAAATGAAAGCCAAATAAGAAAAGGAAACGGAACAAATGCAGTTCTTAAGCAGCACAGCACCTAAATGGAATGCAAGGGTTAAGGTTAGGGTTGCAATGCAAGATTGGAATGCAAGGATTAGGGTTAATTTTGATCTTAACTTCTGTTTTTTTGAAATTTTTATTGCAGGGTCAAATAACACTAATGGATGTGCCTGTATTTAAAGCAATTCAGCCAGAGGTAAGTATTTCATTAGCTTTGTTTTTCAGTTTAAATAAGAAAAGTGATGCCAGAGTATAAATTCTGGAATTTCCAAGTACGTCTATAAATCTTAATTTTTTTCCCAATCCATACATTTCTGAAGCAGATGGTTTTTAAACAGAAAAATATCTGGAGCTAAAAGCCTGTTCAGGGACTGATATTGGTATTTAATTCAGCTTGTGCTAGAGATGAAGCATGTGGGATTTAGTGTTTCTGAATGACAAACATCCTGATTTGGTAATTCTGATCATAATGTTTTAGGTTTGAGCTACTGATACGTGTTTTAATACTTCATCCTGTCCCATGTTTCTATAACTGCTTCACTTCTCCTTTGGCAAAATGAAAATGGTTGTAGTGGCATTCAAGATGTGTGTGATCTGTTGGGATAATACTTTGATGATTTGTGTTCTCTCATTTGTTTTTATGTAATGCCATATTCCTTTCAGATTTTAGCTGACTTGAGCTCATTTCAGCATCTTCACAGTGACTATAATAAATGATGAATTTGTTTCTCCTCATTTCTGTATCATCAGCATTTTCCTGTGGGCATTGTCATGCACTTTGAGGGTTTATTTTTCAGTTTATTGTGCATTTTATCAGTACTGTGAAAGTCTTTCTCAGGTCATCAGTCACTTCAGTCCATCATAAACTATTTCACTGGCAGCAGGTTTGTTACGTCACTCTTGTGACTGCTGAAGAATATTGTGCTTCAAGTGCAGAAACCAGCTCAATCCCTTGGCTGTGATTATTGATTTCATCATTTGTGTTACCTGGGAATTTTTTTAAGGCTGCTGTTTGATCTGTACTTGAAGGTGTCATGATTCAGCTTCATAGTATTTCAGCCAGGTATTTCCCAGCACTTGTGGATCTGTGTGTGATTTTTGGTTCATTTCTTAGTTTGTTGGTTTGGGTTTTTGGAGTTTTTTGTTGATTTAATCCTTCAGAGAGTTTTCCATTTGATCTGTTTTGAACCTACATCACAGCAGTACTTAACATTAGCAGAAGTAGTACACAGACATGCATATGAGGAAAACATTTAAAAGAGATAAAAGGGCAAAATGCTTTAAAGCTTTGGAGAGGAGCTTTAAAAAAAGAGCGATCCTACTGGAAGATCAGGATAAACATATTCTGCCAGTTAAAGGCACTCCAAGGCTATTCGGAAAAAATACGAGTGTAGGCAGATATACCTGCAAAGTAATTATTTATAAGAAATCTGCATAAGAATAAGAACAAATCAATAAGAAAAATTGGTGTGATGCCTTCACTGGGAAATACCCATGAGGAAGGGTGGCTGTTTGTCTCTTTGGAGTGTTTGCACACAAAGAGCTGAAGGCTCTGGCAGTGTGCAGGTGTTACCTGTGCATCAGTGCTCCTGCACTGTACTCACAGACTGGTGGCTCATGTGTATCTAAACTGTGTTCATCCCCTGAGGAAAAGGGCTGTAAACATCAGCTCTCACATCAGAAAAGGCTAAGCCCAATTAAAATGCTTTTCTCTTGGATTGCAGAAGGGAATATCAGACATGGAAGGCTTAATTTACCTCAAGGCATCTTGACAGCAGGTTAATGAAGTGGTGTAGATTTCTGAGCTTCCACCAAGCTTCTACCAGCCTGAGCCATAGCCATGTCTGGATTCAACTTGTAAATCTTTATCCATCCCTTGGCATGTACACTCAAGTATTGTGGAGTTTGTAATTAGAAAACAAAACACTATTGAGCTGATTTCACCTGTATAAAAGGGTTCCTAAACTGAGTCTTCAATGGGTGACTGAAAGGCATTGATAGAATTGGGGTTTTTCATTCTAAGTATTGATACTGAATTTCACAGCTCTCATCTGTGTGTATGGTGGGAGATGATGAGCAATGTTTTTCCCCAGTGTGCCATGATTTAAAAACAGGGTGTTTATTGCAATTTGAAATTCACCAGCAAATCTTTGTTACATGGGTTGTGAATCGCCCTTTTCCTTCCCAAACTGCAGAATGGTATCTGAATGAAATTTTTTAGCCTTAAATGTGTGTTCATTTATTTTCTCAAATAAGGTTTCTGATTGATGTACTCAGAGATGCTTAATTCTTTTAATTGCTGGAGATGAATTTTCATTTTTAGGCTGTATGAGCCATATTCTTTTAGTGTCTTTAAAATTGTGTTGCACCTTCCTCATTGTGTAAAAGTATTTATTAAATTATTACAGGTGGCTTTTTTAAAATAGAAAGTAATACCAGAATTTCATCTTGATTATCTTAACAAAAAAAAAAAAAAAAAAAAAAAAAAACCACTTTCCAAACCAATATGTAGTAGTTTTTCTTTTAACATCAAAATCAGTGAGCATGCTCACAGCACACTTACATATTTTAGCAGTCTTTTGCCTCTATCTGTAGCAAGTAAATATAATTATTTCTGTGTATATTCAAATTTCTTAGCAATATTGCAGTTTCACACGTGTGCTCAGGTTCCTGCATGTTGCCCACTACAACTCACCATTTCATGCTTGAAATGAAAAAACAGACTGGAAGTTTAATGTTGCCTACAGAATCTGGGATTAAGTGAAGTGGTGGATCCCTTTACATTTGAGATGAGCCAGAAGCAGGGACTTGAACCATTACCATGGTTAGATACTCTTTAGTGACACAATCCTCTGCCTGAGCTGAATGCAGGCTGTGTCACTCCTGGATTCTGGAAAACACCTTCCTTCTTCATTAAAAACACCTGCAAGTTACTTCTGAGAAAGGAGAAGGAATTCCTGATTGTTTGTAAATTAATAGTTAGTGGGCTGCAGTATAAAAAATAAAGATTATAAAGAACACACTTCTCTGACATAAACATCTGTCTGTATGAAAGCAGCCAATTTGCATTTTAATTTTTAGGAGGAAAAAAAATTACAGAGTTCCCCCAGTCAGTCATAAGATTTCCTTCTCTTCCCTGGGAATTGCAAGTGGTATGTTGGTTTTTGTTCTCTCTCTCTTGTAGTGGTTGTGGCTTTCTAGAGAGCAGTGACTGCAAAGCTCTGCTTTACTGTAAAAGAAGGGAGTTTTAGACTTGCTTGGCTGTGCTGCTGGTAGTTGTGTTAACATTAAATAGCAGCCACATGACCCCTTGCAGAACACATCAGCTTGCTTTTTTTGGAAAATATGATCACTTGCTTTACATGTTTTAGTACATCATCCAAAATTATTTGCCCATGTGTTCATATTGAAAATCTCTACTGGGTTATTGTCTTTAACCTCTTCGTCCCCTCTGCTTCACCAGACTATGCAGTGAAAAAAAAAAAAAATCACTTACTGAGTAGTATTAATCTCTGCTTACTCTGAAGTGGTAGAAGGCTTCCACTATTAATCCCTGCTTCTTCTCTCCTCTTTTTGAAACTTTCCCTTTGACCTAAATAAAGGTTTCTGTGAGAAACATGATTTTGTTCTTTGCGGTGTAGTACAGGTTATAATTTAAATGTTCCCACAGTATTTTGTTAAGGAAAATAAAATGCTATGTATTCAAAACCAGAATGAGTTACAGAGAAAGTTCAGTTTTTGTATTCTTGATCCTATGTCTTTCAGTTGTTCAGATCAGTTTAAATGTACCACCTTAAGTAAGAAATTGGTGGTTGTAGTGATGTAGCTCCTGTTCCTGAGCTGACGGGCAGAGTAAGGAAATAATCCTGGGGAATACTTCAGGTTTGAAACTTCTGGTGGAAAAAGTAGAATCCTAGAGGAAGATCAAGAAATAGAGTAAGAAATAGACAGCACAGCCTATTTAGCAGAGAAGTGAGTATTTTTATAGAAGGATAAGAGTGGTTTCTCAGTTCCAGTGTGGTGTGTGAGTGTTTTATTGCCATCATGAGTGCAGTCAGATGTGTCCTTGTTGGGACTGTATGGCACCACTCCAGGCCAAATCCAGGGAGGGCAAACACCTTGGTGGCTGCTCTTCTGCTGGTGGCATCTTGGGGCAGTGCCAAAGGCAGAGAGTGGACACAGACAAGTTCTGGCAAGGGGCAGGAGGGTTCTGAGCAGGGGTCCCCTGAGGCAGAAAGGTCACCTGGGAGACCTGACAGGCAAAGGGAAACCACTCTTCTTTTAGTTTGAAGATGAGAGAAAAGAAAGTTGGCTGCCCAAGGGAGAGGGGTCTTGAAAGTGTGATGAGGAAGTGTTTCCTACATTTCCTGAAGGGAGGGGGAAATGCTTTTGGAACTCTCAAAGCTCTGCCTCTCCTGTGTCTGTCCCTGAACAGTGGTGTGGATGCCACCCTAGGCTGTTGAAGAATCCGAACTGATGGCACAGGTCCTGAATGCCTGTGTGCCTCTACACCTCTGGAAAAAGCTTTGGATGTGTGTCTTCCCAGGCAGGAGCAGAACCTTTTGTTTTGCAGTTGCCACTGATGTCTGTACCCTGTGGGCCCTTAGATGTGCAGGGCCAGGGCAATGGGAAGCTTCTGTCTAGAATCATTATGGGTTTTTCAGTCTGTGACAAGAACTGCAATTGAGGGACATGGCCTGAATTTTTAAGAAATTCCCATATTTTCCCTGAACCTGAGGTGATAACTGTTTCCCACTGCTAAGGAAGGGTTATCAGATGCCAGTGAATGAATTCCCTGGTGTCCCTCCAAGTGCAGAGCTGTGATTCCAGTGGAAAGTAGAGATGCTGAGGGATAGAGAATTTAATCAAGAGTCTCTTGAATGGCTCCCTTCTCCAGTAGCCTGCTCTCCTCTGGAACAGGAGTAATTCAGGGCTGTGTGGTTGTCTCATGGATACTCATTGAAGTGGAGGTGTAAGGACAGGGGCACGTGCTTTCCTGTGTTGAGCATGCCAGATTTTCCAGGGTAGATTTAGGTGATACAACTTTCTAGTGAAATTTGAAGGAATAGCCCTAAATACAAAGCCAGAAATTCTGCATTCTTTCCAGTGCCTGACCAAGAATCTCTGGGTCTTCTCTAACAAATACCAGCACACAAACTTCAAGTGGAAGAATTCAGGGTCCCTCTTACCTGGCATGAGATTCTTTAGTAGTTTTGGGACATTGGTTGGAAAGATCCTAAGAAGTTTCTGATTTTAAAAAGTAAAAAAATTAGAACTGAGACTATCCAGATACCAAATTCTTTTAAATTATGTCTTAAATGGCACAATTATTGGTTACATGTTGAGTCATCTTATCTAAGTTATGTGGTAGTTGGATGTGTAGTGTGAATGTGGCTTCAGTGAAGAGTTTTCAGCATGGTAATAAAACTGAGAGCACTTCAGAGTGGATGATCTGGAAGGAAGACATGAATAAGTAAAAAGGAAGGGCTGTAATTTGCTATTATGCCACTTGAATAATTAAGCTGTGTCTATTTTGATTATTTTTCTTGACACTACTGTGGAACAGGTTGTGTGCTGAATGCTGTCTTTGCATCTATTCATGTGCTGTTCTATACAAATGGAAGAGCTCATTTTGGTACATTTAGTTATTTATGATTTTAATGAAAACTTCATTGTTGAAATTAAGTGATAGTAAATAACAAGATGATGCAGTTTCCTAAAATAGGCTCCTTTGGAAGGGAAAACTGAAAATAGTTTTTCTTTTGTTGTTACTGCAAATGGTGACACTTTTTTGATATTTCTTTAATGCAACGTGCCAAGTTAAAAACATGTCTTAGATTGAGTTAACTAGGTGTATCATCTCTTTAAATAGCTTCAGTAAGTGATTAAAAACAAAAGGACATTTGGCTCTCTAGCTCAGATTCATGTTTGAAGCAGGATCTTCTGTGGTAACAAAATAAGAAAAGCTCTAATTCAGCAAAAGATTAATTGTAATAATCAGTAACTCAGCACAATTCAGAAATTACATTTGTGGAATCTCAATTTTCAGCCAGAATCAGAACAAGTGTAACTCTGTTACTTCAATGTGATGTTGCTCTGTTATTTTAAAACTTACAAGATTTGTGTTCTATATGCCTTTGGCTCTGAACATGTGTTATGCACTAAATTAAAGAAGTGAATTTTCATCCTTGTTCTCCCAGGAGCTGGCAAGCTGTGGCTGGAATAAAAAAGAGAAATACAGTTCTGCACCCAATGCTGTTGCTTTCACCAGAAGATTCAATCATGTGAGTTATTTTTTTCCAGCATTATTACACGTACACATTTTAGAAAGTCTGTGGGATTAAGTGTTCTGGCACATCACTTTTATTTTGGATCACAGCTGATTACTTGACAACTTAAGGAACTCCTTTTAGCAAATACTTTATCTGTAGGATATGCAGAAAGACCAAACCAGTGTTGAAGAAATATTCTGTTTTAAATAGCAGCAATTGATGAAAAGTACACATTTTCTGCAGAACTGCTGGCTGTCTTTTATATCAAGACAGAATCATAATTACAGGTTAAAGGCTTGCCATACAGGATTTCTGGACTAGTAATTAGATATAATTTCCTTCTGTGTTAGTTGAGTGTCTTATGCTTCACATAGATATTTTTGTCCCTAGAAATAGAAGCCTCTTGTTAGCATAGGTACCTTTTTAGGGTGATTCTAGGGAAACTTTTAAAAATTCCAACAATTTTTCTCTAAAAAACTTGTTCTTTAACTCTCTATTTCACATAATTTTTAGGTAGTATATTTGAGATTTATGGTTTTTTTACTCAACAATTTCTCTGTATAAAATCAACTCTTAAAAGAAGAACAGAATTCTCCCTTTCTTCACAATTAAAGCTGGAGGAGTCCAGCTGTGGAGTTATCCAGTCATGTCTCAAAACTGTGATGCTCTTTTTAAGTAATGCCATATTTTCTCTTTCAGATAAAGTAATTCTGTTACTCTCATCCTGTAAATGTTTAATAATGTCTCAAACTTAGAAGCTGTCTTGCAGAATTAACCTCTGTGCCCAGTCTCAGACTTACAGAGATCTTTGTTAATCATCTGAAACTCAGACCAAACCTCTAAATTTCTTAGGGTTTTTTTCTTATCAGTTCCTGTGTACTTTCTCATTTTTCATGACTGCTCTCACTGAGGATATGATAAAATCCTATTATTTTTCACTGACAACACTTAGACTATTTCTTAACCTACTGAGTGAAATGCTTGTCTGGCTTTGGGTTTTGGACACTTGCCTGATTCTGCAGTGGACTGAAGAGAAAATGTTACACTGCAAACTTTCTGTGACTGTGCCATCATTGAGATCCGGGGGGGGTTTGGTCAAGAATTTGGGAATTTTTTTGTGGGTTGTTTGTTTGTTTTGGTTTGTTTTTTGATTGGGGTTTGTTTGTTTGTTTTGATGGGTATTTTGTTGTTGTTATTGTTTTTTGCTGTTTTGTTTTGTTGTTGCTGTTCTGCATTTAGTTGAAATTTTTGTGATCTAGCTTTTGAAGTTGCTCCTGTTAGAACGTATAGGCTGCTATAAAACATTCATGATTTTGACAGTAATCTCACTGATTCCAACATTTGCTGCCTTGCTTTTTCATGGAAGCTGACTCTTCAAAGAAATGTTTAGTTTTGCTGAATATTGTGAAATGTTTTTGTGGTAAAAACCATGTGAGGCAGTGTAACTCATCAAGAACTCCACTTCTCAGTTGTTGTTATGTGCTCTGCTGAAGAACTACAGGAACTGCCTGAAGTCAGCTTCAGACATACTAAAGAATTGGTAAAATATGCTCATAGCCAGAAAGAAAGAGGGGAAACCCTATCATGGGAATAAGGAATTCCACAAAGTTTATATCAGCCTCTGTTCTGGCATCAAGGAAGCCCTCAGTACAGGAGTAGAGAGGGGAAAGGACAAATATTGTTTCTGCTCCACTTACCTGGGGTGTTCTAATGCTTAGTCCTAAAATAAACAATCAGGAAAGTCACAGGGACTTGTGGCCTTGTCAGGCAGGAATACATGTCAGCAAAATTTTGTTAACCTTTGAAATTTCACTGGGGTTGAATAAAGCATTATGCATCTGTCTCTTCCCTTTTTGCCCCCAGCTTGCCAAAGGAAAACCGTGAACAGCTCTCACTTCTTAAATAAAGAGAATATGAAATTGCTAACAGCTGCTTCACAGCAAAGTGATATGCAGGTAGCATTTTGGAGGCAGTAATGATTCTGTGCCGTTGATTACATTCCACTGAGGATGAAGTCAGGCAATTCCAGCATTAGTTATGGGATAATTGGATGTGCCTGTGAAAACAGATTGAGTTCAGGCAACAGAAATCGGTGGAATCCTTCCATGCCAGGACTCTCCTGACCTTGGGGAATTCATTGTTGAGTGGTACCCCCACATAGATCTACATATCTGATATAATTTTTTTTTTTAAATGTGACTTAATGTGCTATGTTTGCATTAATTTATATTTAGTGAGGAGGGAAGAAGCCTTTTTTTTTAATTAACTCTGATCTCTCATTTTTCATCTTTCTTCTGAAAGTGAGTTGTAGACTTACTGGTAAACCTCTCAGACTGCACAATCGCCAAGTTCACTTACTAGATCATTGTCTTACCTTTTGAAATAAACGTTTGTCATGTTTCAAATAAACAGTTTTTTGAAGGTAAAGTGTAAAGGTCACGATCGGTCTTTTGATTATCAGAGTCCCTCAACTGAAAACCTCTTTCTTGAGGTTTTTATTTAAATAGGAGTGGAACTGTGCTGCCAGAAAGCTTAAAATATTAGAGAAACTTGTCAGCTAGATTCAGTACATTGGAATAGTTTTAAAGGAAGAGATTGCACTTGCCAAAGGAAAATTTTATGTTTTACTGACTGTGTTTATAGGTTTTTTTGCATCCTTTTTTAACCCAAATGCAAACATTGTATGAAGAACTTTTTCTTGAATATTGTAGTGTTGCTGAATTGCAGTGGATTTAACTGGGATTAATGGAAATTAAGGAGTGGGGTGGTTAGTATGCATGGATGATACCTGAAAGGAAAAGCCAGAAACTATTGAAGGAATATTCTTGAATTTTCCTATTTCTTGATTAGCACAGAAAGCAAAGATAGTTTTGGAAGCAATGACTATGAACTTAAAAGCACCAGTATAACAGAATTGGTATTTCAGATAGGGTAAGCATGGGATAATAAAAAATCTTAAGATGTGATTCAAGAACAGATATGTTCAAAGTTAAGCCTGTTCTTCTCAGTTTACCTTAATAAGGAAGAATGTAAATATGCAATTATATGTCAGGCTTTAAATGCTGCCTTGAACTGGTACCAAAGGCTGGCAGTCATGTTGCTGATTGATGTTGGTATAATAACATTTAAATGCAGCAAGAGAGGACTATATGGAACAAATATGTGTTATTTATGTAAAGAATGAAACAAAAATATTTATTTAAATTACTGCTTTTTCAATATGTACAATACATTCGGTTATGGTGCTGTCTAAAGATACCAGTTAATAGACATGACCAGCCAAAACCCAGTGTTTATGTCAGTAAAAACACATCAGAGGGGACTGGAAGTGGTTGAAGTGGAGGTGATTAAGTGTGTTTGGTTCTGTATCTCCTGCCTGCTCTGTCACTGGAGGGACTGGAGGGCTCTGAGCTTCGAAGGAAATTTGTTCTGGTTTGTTTGGGTTTTGTTCTTTTCCTGCAAGAACTTGGAAATATTGAGCTGAGGTCTGGCTGAGACTGGAACAGAGACCAGGCTTCCTAGGGCAAACAAGAGTGTGTCTCTGTGATGCCAGGGAACTTCCACAGAAGTCGGGACAGACAGAGGAAATCGGGGATTTTTGTCCTGATGAAAATGCTCTGTGTTCTGAGCAAGTGTGTCACAGTCTGGCCCATCACAGGCATTCTTCTGTCACATCAGCACTCTCCGAACTTAGAGATTTGGGATCTTGAGGTGTAGTGCTGTGTGTGTTGTCCTTATGTGATTCTTTATGATACAGAAATCTGTGTTTAAAAATTTAAATTCCTTTGATCTTCACTAAGAAAGGATCTCCTTAAAAACTCATTGATCAGTCAGGGGAAGAAAGTTCTTTTTCTCAAGCTGTGTAACTACAGTAGAGCACCAAACTGAGGTCAAGCTTTTTATGACAAAATTTTGAAGTACTGCCAAATATTTTATGTATTCAGTACTTCTGTATTTGATAGAGTCATAGAATATCTCAGGTTGGAAGGGGCCCATAAGAATCACTGAGTGCAAATCCCTGCTCCTGGCAGGACTCAGAAAGGACACATTCAGAATATTTAATTAAAGAAAATACTGAAGAAGACCTGGCAACAATCCACATATTTTTGTTTTCTTAACAATGAAGAAGGTGCAAGAGTTTCAATTCTTTTTTACTCTCACTACTCCTGAGATTGTCTCAGCACTTGGAGCCCTGTCCTTAAAAGGAAAATTATTCTCTAACTAAAAAAAGGGAATGGCAATCTCTGTCATTTAAATACAGATACTGTCACTATGATTTTCATATTACTAAAATTTGATGATGTACCATCAAAAATGAGACTATTTTCTGTATTTTCTCTTTTTAATTTTAAGCAGTGGTTTCAAAACTTTGCTATTTTTGAGCATGGCAGCATATTGAGATTTTTTTTAATCAGTTGGAACCACTTTTTGTTTGTGAACAGATATTTTGCTTTGCAAAAAAGAAAAATAGGAAAGAAAATGAAGAAAAATGAAAGGAAATAGAAACCTGAGCTGTATGGTTAATTCTTTCCTGGCTAATACAATCTTAGACAAACAGACCAAAGGAAAGTGATTCTTATGCAAGATGTTTGTGGGGATTTTTTGTGGGTTTTCTTGTCATTCTTCCATTTCTCCAAAGAGCTGTTGTGATTTAATATCCCAGTTTTCATTAGATCCCTGTAGCTTCACTGCAAATGTAATCATTTTGGAGGTATGGATCTTCCTGTGCACTTCTCTGTTAGGAGCTATTGTACTGAACAAAGTGGAACAGGATATTTCATTTTTCTAATAGGGATTTTGGCCAGGAACCTGAATACATACTCAATGTTAGTTTACAATAAATAGTTTAGCATCAGTTAAAAAACAAAGCAACATGACATGTTGAAAGCTTTCCATGTATAAGAGTAAACTTACAGTAAATTTCTTCATGCACTGTTTTTGGTAGTTTTGTACGTACCAGTCATGGGGTATTTTGATGATAATTTTTTTTTTCCCAACTCATAGCAAATACATTAATAAAAGCTGCAGCATTTGTTGCTCTTTGCTAATTCTTTACTACTGCTTTATTACAGTTATGAAAGTGTTTAATTTTTATCATTCTTTGTGAGGGCAGAGGGTGGGAGGGAGCAGAGAAAACAGTGGAGTTTAGACATAATAGCAAACCCTTTTAGAGTACAGCTTTTGTGAGACATTCACGTGAGTATGACATGCAGCAACCATTCTTTATACTGAATTTAGCAGGGATCTTCCACAGCAGTGAAGTCAGTCCTAGAGAGCTTAGCTAAGAGTATGATACTGGTCTGTACATCAGCAGGTAATTGGCATAGCCAGAAATAAGAATATAAACTAGAAACTAGGTTATGGCATAGCTTCATACCTTACATTCTAATTTTGATGAGGGTTAATTGTTTTTCAAGCTGTTGGAAATGTCAGTGAGCTGTAGTTGAAGCTGCTCAATTCATGTAAGAGTTGAGTAATGCAGTTTTGATGTTGTGGGAAAGCAAACCAATGGATATGAGTCAATGTTAGTGTTTATATTCCTTCATTTTCTAGGCTTTTCATAAAATTTCTTCATGATTTTATTTTCCTGGGAGAGCACTGTTCGAAGTTTGAGTGTTTTGCCATTGGCTTTGTGTGTGATCTCACTCTCAAGCTTACCCTGAACTCAAGTCTGTTTCCATAGATCATACTTCCATAAAAATAAATAAAACTTTTAAAAGTATAGTGTTGAAACTTTGTATTTTTAAAAGGTTTTCTTCCCTACATTTTAGGTAAGCTTCTGGGTTGTTAGAGAGATTCTGCATGCACAGACTTTAAAAATACGAGCTGAGGTTTTGAGCCACTACATCAAAACTGCAAAGGTAAGAGTTTGTATTGTGAAGGGAGTGTGGGATTCACCATGATCAAAGGTTTTATACCCAGTTTGGTCAGTTCAGAAATACACAGGGGGAAATACCTGTCTGACACCTGACTTACCTGTGGTTGTTTCTGTTGACATCTGTAACTGTTTGGCTTCTATCACAAAGTGTACAGTCAGTTTAAGCAGCTGTAGTCAGAAGGGAAATGGTTTGTTTGCTTTTACCATTGGAAGGAAAGGATCTTTTATCTCTACTCAAACAATATCAACTTTAAAAATGTGGTTTGAAAAATAGACTGCGATTCAGAAGACAATTTGGAGCTCTCAGTCTTTCCTAATGCCTTTTGGACTGACATTCACAAGAAAAGGGTCAGCAAATCTGGAGTGACATACAGCCCTTCAAACAGAGTGAAGCTTCTTCACATTAGTGAGAAAAAGGGGATGTTTTTCAAGTTTATGCTGTCAGATGATGTCTGCCTTTTACTATAGCTGACTGCTGTGACCACTCTGAGTTACCTGCGCAAAAAGATGTAAAATATTTCTTAATAATTCATTTTGTATTCAAGTGCATTCCCTGTCTTGACAAGTCCTTTTTAATGAAGCAATATTTTACTCCTGTGGGATGTGACTCTCAACTTCGGGCAAAGCAAGAGCTAATTTAGTAGGATTCCACAGGCTTTGCTCAGTAATCATGCTGTGGTCATAAAGTGTTAATGATCTCTTTTAGACATCCTTTGATATCTGCTGAGTTAGTGTATCTTCATCTCATGTATTTTTAAAAGCCAATCCTTGTGTTTTTCTTTGAAATACAAACATAAGAAAACTGGCTTCATGATCCATAGGAGGGGGAGGTTCAGCTCTGTGTGGCCACAGTGCAGAACAGATGTGGGAATCCAGGTGGGCTCAGTCTGGTTCATTCTGGGATGGGACTGGCCAGTGCTGGGTGTTGTAGCTTTGGGCACAGCACCCTGAGCATGCCTGACCTCAGCAGTGCACTGCAGGCTGCAGTGGCTGCTGGAATGCTGCTGGAATGCTGCTGGCTTGGCGACAGTTATGTGCTCTAACAATCAGATAATTGAGTTTAGCTTACCTGTCAGCTGTAAAAATCACAGTTACAAAAAGCAAGCAGCCCTGTATGGGGTGCTTTTATATCAGTTCATTTATTTCTGTGTTTGTTACCTTGGCTTTGCTTATGTATGGCTGCTGACATGAAGTTACTGCAGTGGGGGCTGTTGGAAGGAGTTTCTGATATCCAGAGCTATTATCAAAACAGCTTTTTGCCAGGGGTCACACTAATTACCTCTTCTTTAGAGAAGCTGTAAATCCACTCCACAGTGCATTCCTTGTGCTGGCAGCCTATTGTATAGCTTAAGTGGTGTCTCACCTACCCTGCTTAATGCATGAGGTAATGAGACCTAACAGCTCCCCTGAAGTTCCCAGATTGTCCTGGTTGGTGATGACTCCTGTTCCACTGCTGGCAGCAGCTGGGAAAGCCCTTCTTTTCATTTCTGATCAGCTCCACTGTCCTTTGGGACAGTGAACTTTATTACCTTGGTTGGGATGTGTGTGGGGGGAAAAAGGGTTCTTGTGTAAGTGGTGGGACAAACTTCAGCAGAACTGCTTGGAAGGATAACAGGACTGTGGTGTATAACAAACATCCAGCCCCTTCCACCTTGCCCCCCAAAATGCTGACTACCCTTTACACTGGTTACTGAAGAATCCTCCCAAAAGAGGATGAGGTGAGGGAAGCATTTCATCACAAGGTGTGGGCCAACTTCCACTGCCAGCAGGACATGCTTGGAATCACGGGAGTCTGAGCACCCAGAGTGGAAATGCCACTGGGGTGCCATTAAAAGTGGCATTTCTGACTAATACTTGTGAGGACTTTGTTCCATAAAAGGTTGTAACTTTCCTGGCACTGTGTTAAGTGAAGAGAGAGTATTTGCCCTGTTCCAAAACTGTTAGCCAGAAAACCATCCTTAGGTTTTGGCTTTCACCCTTCCAAAAAGAGGCTGTGCTTTGATGATCAGCATTTAGTCAGTATTCCATTGGTCTAGTTTTTTTGTCCTTTTGCCTCATGAAAGGCTTCCTAAGCAAGAAGTAAGCTGAGTTTCAAGTAGGAAAAAGGATTTCCACCATTTTTTTAATAGGAATGGTTCCTTATTTTTTCTTGCTGGAATCCTAACCTACATTGTTGAATATTCCAAATGGATTAAACAAGATTTGCAATACTGTGATTGAGTATCATTTCTCCTTACCAAAGTTTCTCTGTTAGGGACCTCAGTTTGGGTGCACTGCACCAAAAATGAGTGTAGTTTGGATCTCTGAGAGCTCACAGCTGTCAGAACAGTTGATGTTGCAGAAGAGCTTCAGAAAGAACATTTTCCTCCAGACTGTTTTTAAGCTTTCATGACAGTAGCACCAGTAGTTACTTGGCCAAGGCAGTGGATAGTTTTGGAGACAGAGGGAAAGGAAAAAGAAAAGGGAGAGAAATTCCAAATGTGTGAGAAAATGCACTTAAACACAATGTTTTTTATGGAGTCTTTAAGGGAATTACTTTACCCTAATGTTTTTGCTGTTCAGTTTTGATTGGGTTGTTGCTTTTAACTAGTTAGTTGTCATACCCCAGAAATGGTCTTTCAGTGAGAGGAGTACTCCAGGGATGTGGCTTTTGAAATTTACCTTCTTGATTTCATCCTGCTAAGATATTTTTTGGGTGCTTTGATGTAGCCTTGTTGATGTAGTTGTTGCATAAACTTTAGGTACTGACATGATTACATCATTCACCACTGGGTTGTCCTTTCTGGTGTGTTGTTTTAAAATACTACTGAATGCTATGAAAGGAATTTGTTGGGTTTGAATGTCAGAAAATTTCTGGCACTTCTAATATATTCCCCAAGATGTGTGTCTGTATAGATATTTTTAAGGGCTCTCTATGGGCTATGAAACAGCTAGTTAGTCTAATCCAAAACCATAGAGATGCAGTAATGAAAAATTAGGAGGTGCCATAAAAGTGGTCTGTGTGCACAGCAGTTCACTGTAACACTTAATTTTAGACCTTGCAAGATTTCTCCATCTTTATATTGTTACTTATTCTGTGTTCGCTATTGACAGCCCTTGGAATGTTGTATATTGTTGACTTTTTTTCTCTTTTTTTGTCCTCAGAAGCTGTATGAGCTGAACAACCTCCATGCCCTCATGGCAGTGGTGTCAGGCCTCCAGAGTGCTCCCATCTTCAGGCTGACCAAGACGTGGGCGGTAAGTGAGGAGCAGCAGGACGGGGGAATGGGCTTCACTTGTTCTCAGAAAAATAAAACACCCTGAAGCTTGTTTTCAAGGATGCAGCAGTTACTGCAGAGAGCTTTAACTTTGTTCTGCTGTGTACATAATGTTTCTAGTTCCTCTGAATTCTATGGTTTCCTCTTAAATTTTTTTCCGTTCTGCTGTAGAAATATTTTCCTCTGAAAAATAGTTCCCTGCAGATTCTGCTGAATGCAGAGGCTTCTCATTTGGCCAGAAGCTACTTTGTATTTAGTTGCTGGAAAATTCTGAATGCCAAAGTGGGTCATACTTTAATCATTTAGGGGTTTGTACTGTTGGAATTCTTTTTTTTTTTTTGCTATGGAGAGCAGATGTTCAGAAACTCTTGATTCAGTTTCCATAAAGAGATTTGTTGTTTCTCTGACTGATAACTAACTCTATCACTTAATCATTTCATCGTTACAACTCCATTGCACAGTGTATTTGTAATTCTACCTTTGTACAGTTGTGAAAGGAGAGTATTCTTTGGAATCATTTTTATTTGTCATCTGTTTTTCAACTGGCACTAATATTGTTTATCATTGTATCCTGGATAAGAAGAATATTAGGAATTACTTTTGCTCATTGACACTTTAGAGCTTAGAAAACAGTCCTTATTCAGCCTTATATTGTGTAGTTTTTCTGCTCTTTCAGATAAATGTGACATGCAGTGTGACAGAAAAAATGAGGTGATTGAGATCCTTCTGTGCACAGGATACATATTACTAAAAAGAGCTGAAAGCTTTCCCTGAACACACATCAGTGCATCCTTGGATGTTGCAAAAAGTTTATTTATCTAATAACTGCATGAAAATGTCATTCAGTTGATAAATATTCCCAAAATTGAATATAATTCACTTCTGCCAAGATACTCCTCTAGAATTCTGGTCACATTTTGCAAACGCACAATTAAGTTAGATGCTGCTTCCAAATACCAGAAATCTCTCTGAGGAAATCTTAGTGAAATTAGCACTTCAAAATTATCTCAAGGGGAACTTCTGGTTTTCAGATTTTATGTTTTGGAATTGATGCCTCAATAGTTTTATGTAACTGTGAGGCTGAGTCAATTTTTGAATCTCTTTTTGTGCACAGCTCAAATGAAATGTAATTATTACCATATATTAATAATAACCACATTAATTACTACCATGATAATGCCATTCAGAACTGGGAGTTCCCAGTTTCTTTTGATGCTTGGTTATGCACTGGTTTGTACTACAAGATTTATTTGTGTGCTCTTCACGTATTGTATCAGGCATTAAAGCTCATCCCTCTTCCAACCTCTGGAATTCCAGGAACTTCTCACACATTTCTGCAGGTGTTTGATTCCTTCTACAATCCCAAGCGAGTCTGAGCTTTTCATCATCTTACATGAGCCTTTGCAAATTCAAGTTGCAGGATAGCACCCAGCAGTGTGCACTGCAAACTGATTTAGTTGTCCTTCTATTGAAGTTCAGCTTATAAATTCCTAAAGATAATTCTAAGCCTTTGCTTTCTGTATATTAAAAGTAAGAAAAGGCACACCAAGCCTTTATTTGAATCACAAAGGCATTTGGGTAAGTTGCACAGGAACCCTCCAAAACCTTCAACAAGGGAGAATTTCTTCTCCGTTTGTAGCAACCCTTGATTTACAAACTCAGGAAAATAGCTACAAGTATATTCATTCCCTAAAAAAAAAAAGCAAGCCACCTTAAATGGTTGGAATCTAGAGTTTAAAGGAGCCATTAAATACTTGCTTGGTAATCTAATGTTCCTAAAAAAGATGAAATTCATGTCTTCTGACGGTATGTCTGAATTTGTCTGAAATTTGTCTCGCTCATTGCCTGCACACACTCTGAACTCTGGAGAATAGTAAGTGCTACTTTTAATGTGTGATTTGCCCCATTCAAAGCTTGAGAAGAATTGTGAGCCTTTCCAAGAAAGTTCACAGAGTAGAATATTCAACTTCTCTCCATTTAATGTAAAGGAATTCTAGATGACCATTGAGGGTTTGGGCAATAAAGCAAATAATCATTAAATATGTGAAGTGGAGTGAGCCAGCATCCTGAGACCTCATCTCTTCTTGCTGGCATTTCAAAAAGGTTGCATTCAGTGCTGGCACACTACAGCTAGAAACCCAAGAGCAATATAGAAGGCTCCAAATCCTTCCCTGCTGCTATAAACTGTCAGCCTTAGCTTTTATTGTCTCTGCATATTACAGCATGTACAGCTCTTTACTGTTCTTTTCATCCAAGAGACAGAAGAAGAAACATTATTTTAAAAAGGAGCAGCTCCAAAACTGAAGGACTAAGAAATAGGTCCTTACTTGGCCTTCACAGAAACACTTCTAATATTCTTGGCTTCTCTGGACTGTCCTCCCTGAATACAGGGGGTGGAAGCATGGCATGGGTTGGCCTAGGAGCACCAGGGGAAGTCATGCAGGATCAGCTTGTTATGAGATGATCCAAAAAGCCTGAAAAGATACATCAGACTTGAATAAGAGTGTGCAAATCAGCATGATTTGAGGAAAATACAGTTAATTTCACTTGAGTTTGAAAATTATTAGATTTTAGTCTTGTCTTACATTTCAGTCTGCAAAACTACAAAAACCTTTCAGACATTAAATGATGGCAGAATGTTTTAGGCTATTATTAGAAGCAAGCTAGTCCAGCTGATAAAACTGGAACCAGCTTTGAGAAAATGAACTTCAAAAGTAAAATGTCACATTTGGGTGGTTGGAGTCACGTCAGTCTGCTGCTTCCTTCTCCTGGAAGAATCGGCAGTTCTCATTTGAGTATTGGAACCAAACCTAAATTAAAGATGCAAATGAATTGCTGGAATGTCAGTGATGAGTATGTCTTGGGAGACAATTCAACTAGTGGCTTTCTTCTGAGACCCAGTGTTCAGTTTGTCTGTCCTCATAAAGAGTTGGATATAGGAAATGGAAGTAAAATTAAACTATTTCAACGGTGAACTTACAGAAGGGAGACTTCTCCTCTGTCAGGCTCACCTAGGTTGATCTTTAACTGAAGTGAAAAGGGAGTATGTGTAGAAATTCAGTGATCCAACCCTTATAATTGCATTGTGGGGAAAAATTCTGACTGGTACTTGGAACGCTGAATCTCCTGCCAAAATGTTTGGTGGGAACATCTTGCACCCTTGGTTAAATTCTGACTCTTGAGTTCAAGTGAAGACTTTGAGGCAATTCTGCAGCAGCAGTTCAGCAAGATGTTTGGAAAATATCTTGACTTTTTTTTCTTCATCTTTCATAGAGAGCCTGGTTGTTGTTAATTCTGTCAAATGAAGGGATTGGAGGCAGGAGGAATGGATAATGAAGGAGAGCCATGACTTTAAAGTTTTCTGTCCAAAGTGGGCATTTCTGTGATATTACGAGCCAGTAAAATTGCCAATTGGCAGACGAATACAAGTCCATGACCATTCTGTAAAAAACCATAGATAAAATCCTTCCTCAAATTGAAGATACAGCCCATACTAGCCACAGTGAAGAGAATTTACTCCATCCCATTCCAAGCCAGCACACTTACAGATAATCAGAGTGAAAATGTTACTGGCATGAATACTGCTGATGTGAACTGCACGTGAAGCTGTGATGTGTGTTAGCTCGAGTAGTTTTTTGGTAACTTACATTGTTTCAGAAGGATCCTCCAGGACATCAGCATTTTTACCTGCTTGATTTTTAGAAGTATTTTTAAATTTAACACCCAGAATTGTTGCTTTTCTTTATAAACTTTCTAAGTGCTCCTCTGTAAGGAGTAAATGATGTAGTTTTGAAGCAGTTGAGTTATAAAAAAAAATTTAAAAAAACCAGAAAAAACCAGCACATCAACAACAGCAACAACAATGGGGAAGTGGAAATCTGTACTTGTAAGGGTAAAAGAGGAAATCAAAATCATAATGATCAAACTTAAACTCATCTGGTTTTGCCTTCTTTTTCCTTTGCCTAGTTACTGAGTCGGAAGGATAAAGCCACCTTTGACAAGCTGGAATATGTTATGAGTAAAGAAGATAATTACAAAAGGCTCAGAGACTATATCAGCAGCTTGAAGATGACTCCCTGTATTCCCTACTTAGGTAAGCTGTAGCCTATTTCTCCAGTAATTGCACAAGCTAAACACCATCTTTTAAGCATTCAGGAAACTCTGAGTACTTCAGTGGAGAATTTACAACCCAAGATGATTCTGAGCACTCTGTATGTGGCAGGACAGAACCTCAAAAAGAGAATACCTCTTAAAGCTCACAAACACTGCAGGTTTTACATCCAGTATCAGTTTTCTAGGAAACTATTTTGCTACGTGTTGTACAGATACAATTACTTCTGGAGAAGTACTTCCATTGTTATGCCTGCTAGCCCTCCTAAATACTAAATACTTGACTGTTCTAGTAATGATGGCTTTTCATTTATGAGAAGCTATAAATGACAAACCTCTGTGAGAAATAAATACAGAGCTTAGAGTTTGGAACATGGTAAAATACGGAGACATTGCTGCATTTAATATACACCAATGTGACAAGAGAAACTAGGCTGTTATAACTGACTCAGCCTTCTGGAATAATTGTTAGTAAATTATATTTCTATGTATCCAAAAACTAGATAAATGCATTTAATATGTGTTGGTTTTCTTGTCAAGCTAATTTAGTGTTAATTTAGTGTTTAGTGCTATTTAGTGTTACTTAGTATCTGTTAAACTAAACAGATACTAAAATGGTTAAATGTGCTGTTTTTAATGTAGCTTTTGTTTCATGAGATATTGGTAATCACATAAAATTAAGGAACTGTGTATCCAATTCTTTGTATTTTTGCAGATAATAAGTTGCTCTTATACCTGAATTTAAGATGAGCTCTTGTGGTCGTTAAGGCCTATTAAACTGCAATTTCTGTTCCTGAATTTTGATACTTCCTTTACTCTGCTGGGCTGTTAACTTTTCCAGGATTAATTGGTTGAATTTTATATGCTTGCTTCAGAAACAGAAAAAAATACTTCACTGTGGGAGACCAGAATTTAATGCCCTGTAGTGTTTGGCACAAACACCAAGGCACAAAAAGGAAACCGAGCATTATGTAATATGATGAACCATGGAGCTTTCCCACCTTGTTTACATGGACAATATAGAGACTTGATATGTAGTTCTGAAATGCTTCTTATGCTGATGCTGTTTACCTGTATGCCATAATTTTTGAAACATGAAGCCAGCATCAAATTGTTTTCTTGCTGGTTGTAAAAGTCCCAAGCTAGGTATTGGGAAACAGTTTTTAAATTTTATTCAGTTACAGATGTTTTTTCCAATAAGTAGCAGCTTCTTGTCTAACTTTTGCATTGGAATAACCTTTGGGCTTGACTTGATAGTTTGAAGTGAAATATATAATTCTTTTCTATTTAGAAAGAAATGTTCTTTTCTATGACCTGCTGTAGTTAAAGCATGTGTTGTGACCTGGTTTTATGTGATACCAGTTCTTGTTAGTGACATAAGGAATGTCCCCAAGCCATTTTTAATTCTCCAAAGGAATAGCCAATTCCCACTGGTGCACTCCCTCTGAAATTAATTTTGTGAGGTTTAAAAAAGTGGCAAAAAGAAAAACATTGCCTTGAACATAGAATTGGGATAAATCTGGATCCACTTTGGAGGATTGATAGCCGAGTCCAAGTTTTCTCACTTGATAAAACCTGTAATCTCTGCTAAGACCTGAATAGATTTGTTATTTCTTCCATTTTCTTCCCAAGGCATTTTTAGTAATATAAGAGTCATTTGGAACAGAAGTCACTTAAATTGCTTGTTTAACTTACTGTTTTAAGCTTATCAGTTACAGGTTACAATTCCTAAAAGGAATACTCGTGCTATAAGATTCTGTAAGGGAGTAGTGCTTCTCCTGGTTTAAAACACATGGAAAGCCTACATTCCCTCTCATGGTAAAAGGAGGAGTGGGGGCTTCTTCACTCCTGGTGGGGAGAGCCAGCAGCTGCCACACTCCCTCAAAATGCTCTTTGGAAGATGTGGAGCATCAGACTTGCCATAAAATTAAGTTTTTAATTGCAAATTCCCTCTAGAGGAACACTGGACATGGACACCTCTGTTTGGAAGGCCACAGGGAAAGTGAGCATATAAAGGAATTTCAGCTGCAGTTTCAAGGATGAATGTTTCACCCTCATGCAGCCAAATACCAGATGTGGGTATAGATTTTTTTTTATGGCCATCTTGGCATTATAAGAAAAAGCTGAAATGCTTTCTTGGTTTTCCCAGTAGGAGTGGAGCCACAGAAGTACAGATTGTTGCTTTATTTCCACAGTTCACCCTCTGTGGACAAGATAATTATGTGCTTCCACATTTAGCTGGGGGGAGGAAATAAAAATGTTTCTCAGCTCCTTACAGCAATGATTGTGATGTGATTCCAGAATTCTAGAAATGCAGGTGAGAGCAGCAGATCATCAGTGTGGACTCACCTACTTAAATGTGAGTGTGAAAAGCTGTGCAACACTAATAAATACGTTCAGCAGCAGGCCCTTGATACCCAGTGTGGGATATGTCATCAGTGTTGCATCACCCAGACAGCTGAAGCAGCCAGAACAAATGGGAGCTGTGTCTGTGATGTTGTATTTCACCTTAAAATAAGACCCTGTTCTCCAAGGGAATCTCATTCCAGAGTTCTGATCCATTTGAGATTGCACAGTGAGACAACTGAGCCGTGTCTTGAGAAGTAAGATTTTATTTAACTAAGCAGTACTACCTTGTGAGATATTTTTCTTATAGCTGTCTTTGAGGACTGATATCCAGAAAGAGAAAAGCTGAAAACAGGTTATTAAGTATTCATCTGAGGAATATTCAGCTGCTTCAGTGATAGTGCTTGCAGTAGATTTTGGACATAGATGTGATAACTGTGTTTCAGGTTTCGTACGAGTTGAACTGTCTTGAGGTCTGCCTGGTTAAATTTGGACTGATGGTAGAGGAATGGTGAAGGCTTTATCCTTCTCAGACAGACTGCTTCTGAATGCTCAGGGCAAGAAGCCTGAGGGATGCTACAGGCTCTTTTGAAAATCTTTCAAAAGAAGAGGTGTGAGAGAAAACGTTGAACTTTTAAAGTAATTCACCCTGCTTAGAAAATTCGGCCCAAAAGCTACAAAGCGATAGAGTTACAAGCACTTGAAAGTGAATTATTGTACAGAGTATGAACCAACCTGAAGAAGACATGCTTTGCTTTCCTTCCTCATAATCTTAAATTGGCAACTTAATTAACTCTTTCCTCTCAGAGCACAGCATTTGTACAGTCTGAGGTTTCTGGGTGGATTTTGTAATAATGTTTAATTAACGTCATCCTGCAGCTTTAAATTGGGGAAGGCTCACTTTTTAGATGTCTAATATATAAGATTTAATTAAAAGGCTGAGTGCAAGCTAATTTTACTTTGGGTTTTCTGCAAAGTACACCTTTCACGGAGTTGCACTGAATAAACAAACACTGTTTTTGTAGCAGGCAAGAGATTCATGGGGTAAAATACGCTCTCTGCCAAGGAGAGGAAATCTGCTTGTTGAATGAACTAAAAGCTGTCAGAAGTGATCATTAAAGGAATGTTTTGGATGGCATTTTCCTTTTTTTAAATTCACCTGAACTGCTCTTCTATCCACCTATCACAGAGAAAAAAGGACAGGCCTATAGAGAGTCAGAATTTTAAGCATTTGCAATTAAAAATTGTTTTGCAGGACACTCAGTCAATGAGGTCTGTATGACATTTGTAACAAACAAATATTCCTTATATGAAGAACAATTTCAGAATTGTAATCAAACATTTGTGTCAGTTAAAATTCTTGGAATTTGGGAATGGAATATGCTGGGACTGATTCCCCACCGCTGCCAACCCCAATTAAATATTGGTGGAACTGGTTGGCTTTGATCTCTGACCAAAGATTTAACTACAAGCCTTGCAGCCATACATTATCAATGAAGCTTCATCTCTGCTCCAGAGGGTGTGTTCTGAAAGCAAAATGCTTTTTATTCTCCTCTGAATTACATACAAGGCTTTGCATAGTAATTGATATTGACTAATTTAACATAACAATAATACCAGGTTATTCATTTAGCTATTATGGTTTCTTATTTTAAACAGGGACAAAGTTCCTTACAATCCTGAAGGCACCTATGGGTTGCTAAACACATTGATTACAGTTCAGAACAGCATATTCAGTTTTACATAATATAAAATTAAATTAGGCAACCTATGTGGCTATAAGTGCAGTTATTGAATAATTTTGTGTAACAGGAAGAAAGGTTCTGGTACCTAAAGCAAATGTTTGGTTGTACCTGATTTTAGAAATACCTTGTTTTCAGTTGGTGTGTGGTAGAGCTTTTGTTAAATGTTGGGAAAGTATTTTCTATTTAATTTCGCAAATTACATCTTCATTCCAGTGTAAATCTGATATCTGGAAGCTAAAATTTAGTATAAACAGTATCAAAAGTTGTATAGATGTAAGGGAAGGGAAGGGAAGCGTGTGTCTTATCTGAAGCTCAAGTGTGGGATGTCAGGAAGAACACACTCAGAGCTGATTTCTAAGCTTTGTACTGCTGTGGGAGCAGAAAACTGTGTTGGAGGAAAACTTGTAATATTCACAGACCTGTCTCTCAGTAACTATGTGTGAATGCTTGGTCAGCCCTCACCACTCCTGATTGGAGCAGGGAAGTGACAAGTCGTTATTTTTTAATACCAGGACTTTCAGTTTTGCCATTTAAGTTCAAAGTTTAATTAGAAAGCTTAAAAATGGAGGTTGAAAGTAAAATCAGTACCAAGTAATTTGATTGTCTCAGGTTTATCAAAATTTACATACAATTAATTTTTTTATATGCAAGGAACATTTTGCCAAAATTTTTACAGAAGGTAGGACTTGCAGATCTTAGCAGTGTAGAGAATTCCCTAAGAAATTTTGTATAATTTTGTATTTCATGTTAAATTTGCCTCTTCATTTTGAAATAATTATTTGTTGCAAAAGTCTTTCTCTGCTGGCAAAGCTAAAATGTCTCCAATTTTTTATGTAGGTTCTTGGAGTAAATATCAAAAAGTAATGTGAAGTCATATTTTTCATTGAAAGTA